CTGAGGGGAGTTCAAACCATTACAATTCCAGCTTAATAGTTGCAGAGCCATGATGTAGTTACTTTGCTTCTCCTCCAACTGCACCCAGTACCTGTTCCTGATCTGTCGGTGGTATCCCCTTCTTCAGGCGGTCTTTTAGTTCAGGAGGTAAACCTGGTATGTCTAAAGTTTCACTTACTAGTGCTCTTAGCTCTCCTGTAACTTTCTTCTGCAGGTCTTCTCCGTGGTCTCTCCAAAATCTATCTTTGTCGTCCTCTGATCTTATTTTTATCTTCTTCCCTTTGTAACTAAAGGATAGGCCTTGGGGGAATTCCCACCTAAAGATGATTCTGTTGCTTCTCAACAGGGCAACCAAATCTCTATAATTGGACCTAAGGTCCAAAAGATGTTTCGGAATGTCCTTAAATATCTCCACTTTTGACTGGTGTATTTCCAAAGTCTTCTGGAAGTGCAGACTCAAGATTTTGTCTCTCTCCTCTTTTGTTCGGAGGGTGATCAAACAGTCTCTCACCCTGTTCTTCCTCCCTCCTCTTCCAAGCCTGAAGGCACTCACTATCTTGAAACTATCCTTCTCCAAATCTGGGTTCCAAAAGTCTGCAAATTCCTTCGTAAGAAAGTCAATCAAGTTGTCTTTCTCAAATTCGGGTACGGCCCTGATCCTTAAATTCGTTTGTTTCTCCTTCAACTCAATCATAGACAATATTGACCTGTGGTCTTCAAGTTGTTTGTGTATCGGTGGTATCTTCTCTTCTACAACAGTGGCTGTAGCAGTTGCTATTTCCTTTGCCTCTTCGGCTGTCTTTCGTGTCAAGGTAGATTCCTGTAGTAATTTCTGAATAGTTTCTGTATTGGTATTTACCTTCTGTCCCAAATTATTAATACTTGTGGTGTTTTGGTCAATTTTACCCGATGCCTCGGCTACTTGTTTACTTATTCTTTCCAAAGATTCGTTGATTTTACCTAGTGCCTGAGCCAAAGCATCTTCAGCAGCCGTCCCTTTAGGTTTAGGTTGTGCCGATGAGGTTACTGTTGGTAAACCAGAAGGGCCAGATGTCGATGCTCTTCGTTGCAGCCCACCGTCTGTGCGAAATAGTCTGCCAGACCTTGTTGCTCTTTCCTGTAACAAATCTATCTTCTCCTTCCCATCTGCCATAACCCTCAAGATAAAACCCAAGGTCAGTCTCACGATCAGAATTTGTTTTGAAGTGGAAAATTCCCCTGGCCCAGCTGCTATTGTAGCATTTTCGAACTTCCTCTAGGGGGACACAGTGGCAGTCAAAAGTGTCTTAAAGTAATTAACTTTTTTCCTTTAGCCCCCCAATTCACAAAAAGGACAACAGTTTCAATCTCAGTTATTTCCTGTTACTTTAAAACCAGGAGAAGCCAGTCAGAAATATTGTATCTTACTTGTATCTCAGATGCAGAGTTAACTGTCAAAGAGTACTTTCAGCAACAGCGCGTTTCGCAATACGGCTTTCTTACTGTTCACTGGCAACCCTTTCCAGGGTTTTGAGCGGTGGATTTTAGCTTCTTTTCCTCTCTTTTTGCAGAGAAATACAGTTCAGACCTTCCCCCCTCCTCCCCTGCAATCAAGGGGGGGAAATCGCTTGTTTGATGTTCGAATTATAGTCCTTTTCCGACATCTTTTAAGGTTTCCGCTTACAAGTTCATTGCTTTACTCCATTTACAAGAACGGAAGGCAGACCTCCTGTTTATGCCTCTCTGCTTCGGTGGCAAATTATTTGTAAAATTTGTAAAGTTCCTTTAATTCCGAAATTAGCCTACTCACGGATCGTTGTTTTGCAGCCAAATTGTCCCAGGAAAAAGGCAGCGCTCTCTGGTAACGGCTACGCGGCTTCGCTCCACGGAAGAAGCAGTTGACTCACAGCACTACGCCACTTCCCCGCTCCACTCCGGAGCCCGTAGTCGGGCTCCTTTGCCAATTGGGGGGGGCGCAAAAGGTGCCCGCCGAGTCCCACGGTCACAGGCTTCACCCGCCTGTGATTTTTGAAGGGTCCCCGCTTCGCCGTAGCGGTGCAGACCCGATTTCCGCAGAGCCGGTTCCCTCCAAGTCAGAGGGAATCCGCCATTACCGATGGCGCCACCCCGGAAGTCTCCAAAAATGTTATTTCAATGGTATATAACTTTGAAAGATATACAGAAGATGAATAATGAAATGAATGAACATTGCTGGAAATGTCATAGACCTTAAGGAATCTTCTTCCATTTATGGTGGACCTGTGAAAAGTCCAAAAAGTTTTGGAGGAAAGTTCATTTCGAAATAAAAAAATGTAAAAAAAAAAACCCTAAATTTGCATTGGACCCCAAAACTATGCCATTGGCAATGACTCCTTCAGCTACTGTATTGTGAAATCGTCAGTGGAACTATTTAGTTATATGACGACAGCAGTCAGAGTGGTGTTGGCTAACATATGGAAATTTGACATATGTCCTGAAATAGATGCATGGAAAAAGAAACTATCAGAATATGCAGTAATGGCAAAACTCGCCAATTTAGTAAATAATTGACTCATCTTTATAATTTGTATACAACTTAACAGAACTGTAACAAAATGAACATCTGTATGGATTTTTATAATAGACCTTAGTTACAAAAATATTTCCTGTTTAAAAATAGAAGCTTTGTGTGTATAGGATAAAGAAAGAAATATATAGTAGAAGAAATCTTGTCTGTCTGATCTAGAAATGAAATCATATTTTAAAATAATTTTGCTTTACATTTTTATAATCATATATGGTATTTCTCCAATAGCAAACTACCTAGAATTGGAAATAATATTTAGTACACTAACCTTTGTTTAACTCTTGATAAATGTCAGCTTGCTGAGTTATTTTGTACCATTGTGATTCAATGTTATACAGGTGAAACTCGGAAAATTAGAATATCATGGAAAAGTTCATAGGATATAATGGAAAAGTTCATTTGTTTCAGTAATTCAACTTAAAAGGTGAAATTAATATATGAGAAAATCTCCTGGTAGATCGCTGTGTTGACCCTGGACTTAATGAAGCACAGTGGAACAACACCAGGTGATGACATGGCTCCCCAAATCTCAGAAGCATACATTACACTTATACCAAAAACAGAAGTGGAAAAGACACAGTTGAAGAACTACCGTCCCATATTCCTACTTAATGTGGATTACAATTTTTTTGCGGAAATTATGGCTAAAAGATTAAAAAATGTATTGGTGAAAGAAATTCATAAAGATCAAGCGGGCTTTCTCCCGGGGAGACATCTGTCAGATAACACGAGGAATATCATTAATATTCTAGAAAAATTGCAAGTTAATATTAATACTAAAGCTGTTCTAATATTTGTGGATGCGGAGAAAGCCTTTGACAATATTTCTTGGAATTTTATGAAGAAAAATCTGCAGGGGATGGGGGTAGGCCAAAGTTTTGAAAACGGTATAGGTGCAATTTATTCAGAACAAAAAGCTAAGCTGATTGTAAATAATGTAATTACAGAAGAATTTAAGATAGAGAAAGGAACAAGACAGGGTTGCCCAATCTCCCATTGCTTTTTATATCGGTCCTGGAGGTTTTGCTCAATATGATTAGGAAAGACCAATTGGTTAAAGGTATACAACTCGGAGCTAAACAGTACAAACTGAAAGCTTTTGCTGATGACTTAGTTTTGACACTACAGGAGCCAGAATCCAGTACAAAAAGAGTATTGCAATTAATTCAAGAATTTGGTCAAGTAGCAGGTTTTAAATTGAACAAGATGAAAACTAAGGTATTAGAGAAAAATCTTACAGAGATTGAGAAAGAGAGGTTTCAGAAGGAGACAGGATTAACATTAGTTAATAAAGTGAAATATTTAGGGGTGCATATGACTGCTAAAAATGTGAATTTGTTTAAAGATAACTATGAAAAATGTTGGGTAGAAGTAAAGGAGGATTTGGAAATATGGTCAAAATTGAAGTTATCATTGTTGGGCCGAATTGCTGCGATAAAGATGAATGTATTGCCTAGAATGTTGTTTTTGTTTCAAACATTGCAAATTGTGGACAAAATGGACTGCTTCAAGAGGTGGCAAAGAGATATTTCTAAATTTATCTGGCAGGGCAAAAAGCCTAGAATAAAATTTAAAATATTAACAGATGCAAAGGAAAGAGGTGGATTTGCCCTACCAGATCTTAAACTTTATTATGAATCAGCCGCATTTTGCTGGCTGAAAGATTGGCTACTTCTTGAAAATACGAACATTTTGGACTTAGAAGGTTTTGATAATGTGTTTGGATGGCATGCATATTTATGGTATGACAAGGTTAAAGCGCATAAGGCCTTTAAGAACCACATTGTCAGGAAAGCATTGTTTAATGTTTGGATGAGATATAAGGATTTGTTGGAAAGCAAAACACCAAGGTGGCTGTCACCAATGGAGGCTAAGGCTTTGAAAAAAACTAATATGGAGACAGATTGGCCAAAATACTGTGAAATTCTAGAACAAGTTGGAGATAAACTAAAGCTGCAGAGTTTTGATAAACTAAAAACTAAAGTTCGAGATTGGCTTCATTATTATCAAATAAGGGAGGCTTTTAACCTAGATAAAAAGATTGGCTTCCAGGAGGAAAAATCCAAACTGGAAACTGAATTGTTAGAGCCTAAAATTAAGAATCTGTCAAGAATGTATAACTTGTTGTTGAAATGGAATACACAGGATGAAACGGTTAAATCTGCTATGATTAAATGGGCACAAGATTTTGGACATAATAGTATGTTTGCTGACTGGGAACGGTTATGGACTACAGGTATGAAATTTACGGCTTGTAATGCTTTAAGAGAAAACATAATGAAAATGATTTATAGGTGGTACTTAACCCCAGTCAAGCTAGCCAAAATTTATCATACGCCCGACAATAAGTGTTGGAAATGTAAAGAAAATGAAGGTACTTTCTTCCACCTTTGGTGGACGTGCCCAAAGATCAAGGCCTTCTGGGAAATGATATACAATGAATTAAAAAAGGTATTGAAATATACTTTTCTAAAGAAACCAGAGGCCTTCCTCTTGGGTATGGTTGGCCAATTGGTGCGAAGGGAAGATAGAACTTTTTTTATGTATGCGACAGCAGCAGCGAGAATACTTATTGGGAAATACTGGAAGACACAAGAATTGCCTACCCGAGAAGAATGGCAGATGAAAGTGATGGACTATATGGAACTGGCTGAGATGACCGGCAGAATTCGAGACCAGGGAGAAGGGTCGATGGAAGAAGATTGGAAAAAATTTAAATTATATCTTCAAAAATATTGCAACATAAAAGAATGTTAGAAAGAGGTTGGAAAAAGATCATTAGGTCGTTTAGGCTGAGATGATATTATGGACTAAGTAAAAATGAAGTGTAGAAACTGATGGGATAGAGGAGTACTAATTATGCTATTGAATGTTAAAATAAGTAATGAAAAGAAGGTTAGAAGGATTTGCTGGAAATATGATTTAAACTAGAATACAAAGCAGGGAGGTGAGAGGAGGTCACGGAAATAAGTAAAAGGAAAAAAAGGCTGTAAAGGTTTAACTTGATTTTTGTCTCATTTTATTGTATTGTATTTTTATATTTTTTGTTGCGTTTTTCTTATTGTCTGTTTTTTTTGTTGTATGTTTATTTTACTGTGTATGGTTTTCTCTTGTTTTTTTTTGTAATTTGAAATTTGGAATAAATATCTTATAAAAAAAAAAAAAAAAGACATGGCTCCCCAAATCTCTTTTCTGATGAGAGCAGCTTTTGCATCTCATTTGGAAACCAAGGACCCAGAGTCTGGAGGAAGAATGAGGAGGAACACAATGCCAGATGCTTGAAGTCCAGTGTGAAGTTTCCACAGTCTGTGTTGATTTGGGTAGCCATGTCATCAGCTGGTGTTGGTCCACTGTGCTTCATTAAGTCCAGGGTCAATGCAGCCGTCTACCAGGAGATTTTGGAGCACTTCATGCTTCCTTCCGCAGACGAACTTTATAGGGATGCTGACTTCATTTTCCAGCAGGACTTTGGCACCTGCCCACACTGCCAAAAGTACCAAAACCTCGTTCAATGCCCATGGGATTACTCCGCTTGATTGGCCAGCAAACTCGCCTGACCTGAACTCCATAGAGAATCTATGGGGCATTGCCAAAAGAAAGATGAGAGACATGAGACCGAGCAATGCAGAAGAGCTGAAGGCTGCTATTGAAGCATCCTGGTCTTCCATAACACCTCAGCAGTGCCACAGGCTGATAGCATCCATGCCACGCCACATTGAGGCAGTAATTGATGCAAAAGGGGCTCAGACCAAGTAGTGAGTACATATGCATGCTTCTACTTCTGAGAGGTCCAATATTGCTCTATTTGCAGTCCTTGTTTTGCTGATTTCATTTAATATTCTAATTTTCTGAAATTGTTAATTTGGGGCTTTCTTCAGCTGTACGCCATAATATCACAATTAGAACAAATAAAGGCTTGACATATCTCGCTTTGCATGTCATGAGTCTGTCTCATATATTAGTTTCACCTTTTAAGTTGAATTACTGAAATAAATGAACTTTTCCATGATGTTCTAATTTTCCGAGTTTCACCTGTATTTGTGCTCAGTACTTTGTAGGATTTGATGATGATAATAATAATAATAATAATAATAATAATAATAAATTTTATTTATATCCCGCCCTCCCCAGCCGAAGCGGGGCTCAGGGCGGCTAACAACAATAAAACAGTACAAAAGTACAGCATAAAGAACACTCTAAAATCATTCATTATAAAATTAATTAATTCAAGCCACTGGCAACCATTGGGCCAGAGCTCCGCGAAGATTGCCGAGGGGGGGAGTCAGGCTGTGCCCTGGCCAAAGGCCTGGTGGAACAGCTCTGTCTTGCAGGCCCTGCGGAAAGATGTCAAGTCCCGCAGGGCCCTGGTCTCTTGTGACAGAGTGTTCCACCAGATCGGAGCCACAGCCGAAAAAGCCCTGGCTCTAGTTGAGGCCAGCCTAATTTCTCTGTGGCCTGGGACCTTCAAGATGTTTTTATTTGAAGACCGTAAGTTTCTCTGTGAGGCATACCAAGAGAGGCGGTCCTGTAGGTACGAGGGTCCTAGGCCGTATAGGGCTTTAAATGTTAAAACCAGCAGCTTAAACCTGATCCTGTACTCCACCGGGAGCCAGTGCAGCTGGTATAGCACCGGGTGAATGTGATCTCGCAGCGAAGACCTCGTAAGGAGTCTCGCTGCAGCATTCTGCACCCGCTGGAGTTTCTGGGTCAGTCTCAAAGGCAGCCCCACGTAGAGCGAGTTACAATAATCCAGTCTGGAGGTGACCGTCGCGTGGATCACAGTGGCTAGGTCAGGGCGAGAGAGGTAAGGCGCCAACTGCTTAGCTTGGCGGAGATGGAAAAATGCCTTCTTTGTTATAGCTGCAATCTGCGCCTCCATGGAAAGGGAGGTGTTGAAGATTACACCCAAACTCTTAATGGACGGTGCTGGCACTAATTGCGCCCCCGCAAGAGATGGGAGTTGCCCCCCCAATCCCATATCGCCCCGTCCCAGCCACAGGACCTCTGTCTTCGAAGGATTTAGCTTCAACCGGCTTCCACGTAACCATCCAGCCACAGCTTCCAAACATCTGGTCAGTGTGTCTGGGGCCGAGTCAGGATGGCCATCCATCAACAGATAGAGTTGGGTGTCATCGGCATACTGATGGCATCTGCGAACTGTCATATTCCACAGCAAAATCCAAACACATAGTTTTCATCATCATGGCAGGGATGGTCCTTTTCCATAGAATTCTTATTCATGGAGTTGGTTTTTATATCCTGCTTTTCTCTACTTTAAGGAGTCTCAAAGCGGCTAAAAATCGCCTTTCCCTTCCACCCCCACAACAGACACCTTGTAAAGTAGATTGAGCTGAGAGAGTTCAGAGAGAAGTGTGACTGGCCCAAGGTCACTCAGCAGACTGCATGTGGAGGAGCGGGGAAGCGAACCCAGCTCACCAGATTAGAGTCCACCGCTCTTAACCACTACACCACAGAAACGTACCTCTTAAAACTCTGGAGCAAGCTGTTCAGTTCAGCCTCATAGTGATACTGATTTGTGGAGGGAGGGTTGGTGATGAGCAAGATCTGTTCCCATTTCCCAACACAGAGACCATAGAGCAGTTTCTTTTGGGGGCTGAACCTGCAGGGTGTTTCTGTTCAGAGTTTTTGTAGCAGAAATTGGCCAAGTGCCTTTATAAACATTCAGCTTCTCAAATAGAACTCCATCACGAAACTTTCAGGTGTAGCTGTTGGAGGTGGAGGGCAGAGAAGGTGCTAGTCCTTACTTCCTCCTCCCAGCCCCATTATCAGTTGCCCAATGGGCTGAATTTCAGGGCATTTGTACGTAAAGGGCAAGCTTGTTCTTTACTTGTTTAGACTCTTTAAACTTGGGAACAGATATTTGGCTCCGTGACCAAAATGACCAAAAGGGTCAGCTTCTAGAGGACTGGAAAGATGATGGTTGTACTTCCCCTATCCTCAGCCCTAACTCCGTTGAGTATTTTTTTGTTATGAGACTGAGCGTTTGGGGCTGATGTTGTAGCATTCTTCTCTGGGGGCTTGGTGGAAAAACAGAAAAGTGACCCTCACCTAACTCTCCAATGCCCTTCAACAAGAATGCTGTAGGAAATATTGCTAAGCCCAAAGGGAGGCAAGAATTTGCTTCAGCTCACCCTGTTAATGGAAGAGCAAAAGCTATGCGTGCGTCATTCTCAATCAGTCTACTTTCAGGACTGATTTTAGAACCCTCTTATGTCAGGCCACATGGTCACTGGAGGTGGCCCCATCATGCAGAATTGACTATCCACACAGGGACCATCTTTTTTCTTTTATTCTTATACTGGATTTTAAGTTACAGTAACTTCTTTTAAAGCAGCTGTCAGTATATCACACTGTATTCCACTTGCCTTCCAAAGGAACACGTGGCTCTCCCCACATAGCGGGTTAGGTTGAGACTGCTGATCCAAAGTGATCAGTAATTTTTACGCTAATTACAATCCTGCTTTCCCTTTTACCAGCTTACCTTGACTTCAATAAGGCCTTTGAAAAGGTCCCCCGTGATATTATTGCAAAAAAGCTAGTAAAATGTGGGCTAGACAAAGCTACTGTTAGCTGGATTTGTAATTGGTTGACGGACTGAACCCAAAGAGTGCTCATCAGTGGCTCATCTTCATCCTGGAAAGAAATGACTAGTGGGGTTCCACAAGGTTCTGTCCTGGGCCTGGTGCTATTCAATATTTTTATAAATGATTTGGATGATGGAATAGAGGGCATGCTAATCAAATTTGCAGATGACACCAAACTGGGAGGGGTTGCTAATACCCCAGAGGACAGGGTCAGAATTCAAAATGACCTGAGTAGCCTAGAGAGCTGGGCCAAAACCAACAAAATGGAGTTCAATGGGGAGAAATGTAAGGTACTACAACTGGGTAGAAAAAATGAAATGCACAGGCGGGGGACACTTGGCTTGACAACAGTACCTGTGAAAGGGATCTGGGAGTCTTAGTTGACCACAAGCTGAACATGAGTCCACAGTGTGATGTGGCAGCTAAGAAAGCCAATGCGATTCTGGGCTGCATCAATAGCAGTATCGTGTCTAGATCAAACGAAGGAATGCTACCACTCTATTCTGGTTGGTCAGACCACACCTGTAATACTGTGTCCAGTTCTGGGCACCACAGTTGAAGAAGCATATTGTCAAGCTGGAGCGTGTCCAGAGGAGGGTGACCAAAATGTAAAAGGTCTGGAATCCAAGCCCTATGAGGAGAGACTTAGGGAGCTGGATTTGTTTAGTCTAGAGAAGAGAAGATTAAGGAGTGACATGATAGCCATGTTTAAATATTTGAAGGGATACATGTCATGTTGAAGAGGGAGCAAGCTTGTTTTCTGCTGTTCTAGAGATAGGATGCAGAATAATGGATTCAAACTATGGGAAAAGAGATTCCACCTAAACATTAAGAAGAACTTTCTGACAGTAAGGGCTGTTGGACAGTGAAATATGCCACCTCGGAGAGTGGTGGAGTCTCCTTCTTTGGAGGTTTTTAAGTGGAGGCTGGCTGGCCATCTGTCAGGAGTGCTTTGCTTGTGTGTTACAGCATGGCAGGGGGTTGGACTAGATGGCCCTTGCGGTCTCTTCCAGCTCTATGATTTTATGATTCTATGACACTAGCTAGTACACTGCACTGTTCCATTAGATAGATATTGTTGCTATTTTTTAAGCTAAAGTTTATGTATAGCTGGCATCTATTAGTCTTTGAGCCAGCGTGCTGTAGTGGTTAAGATCGATGGACTCATAATCTGGTGAGCCGGGTTCGCTTCCCTGCTCCTCCACATGCAGTCTCAAAGCATCTCACAATCTCCTTTCCCTTCCTCCCCCACAACAGACACCCTGTGTGGTGGGTGGGGCTGAGAGACTTCAGAGAGAACTGTGACTAGCCCAAGGTCACCCAGCAGCTGCATGTGGAGGAGCGGGGAAGTGAACCCAGCTCATCAGATTATGAGTCCACTGCTCATAACCACCACACCACACCTGAAGTGCCTTTTCCAGTTGTCAATAATGCCCTGTTATCATTTTTGAAACATTGGTGTTATGATGGCACCTAAAGCCTGAAATATCTTCCTAAAAGATAGGAAAAGTTGCTAGGAAAAGTTGCTAGGAAAAGTTTAGGAAACTGTTTAGGAAAAGTTGTTATGAAAGGAGGAATGAAGAATGTAAGTTCAGCATATAATTCTCTGCATTATGCTTTCAGGTCTCCATATGATGAGCATGTGGACAGACAGAGGAGAAGGCTGCATGAGGCTGATAGTTAATTGCAGAGCAACCTCTGCAAAAGAAAGTTGTGCATATTTTATCTTTGTGACTGTTAAATAAATGTTTAAATTATAGTTTTTTAATATCCAACCCAAGCTCTGATTTTCTCAGTTCTCCCTTCACCTTTGTGTATCCTGCTAGTTCTATCCATTTCGCCTTTCTCTTGACACAAATGTATATAAAATTATACAGGAAAATGTTAAATGATTGGTTTTAATGCAGTGTCTCTGTCTCTACCTTTCTGTGCAATTGCTCAATAATGTCACTAAGAAAGCTCTATATATTGGAATGGTCTCTTTTATTGGAAAAATTTCCCAAAGTTAATTCTAAAGGGGTGCATAAGACCAGTGGGCCAGAATATTTGTCCCAATAATATTTTTATTTTTTTCCTGTGGCCATCACTAAATCTTCATGCAGTTAACTCCACAGTTTAATCTCTCATGGAGTAAAGTGGTACTTCCTTTCGCTGGGTGCCCCTGAGGTCAGCATTATGGGAGAGGGATAAAAAGTTCTCTCTATCCACTTTATCTTCTTAAATTTTTAAACCTCTATCATGTCTGCTGCCCACTTAGTCACCTTTTATAGACTGAACATTTCCAAACTCTTCAGCCTTTTCTCAAAGGAAAAGCACTGTTACCCCTTAATCGTTTGGTTGCCCAATTCTAGCTGTTAAGAGCGATCTGGTTGCCACATCTATCACCCTTTTGATCACCAGGGTTGATTTGGCTGATCAGACTGGCAAGAAATGTGTCTGCCATCTCCATCAGTGTGCATCCCTCCCTATGCCACACACTCCATGGAAGAGAACAACCATCCCACACAGAGCGAGAACACCCTCTTCTGCACTTTTCCCAGCTATGCCAAAACTGTACACGGTATTCCAAATGGGACCACACTATAGAACTGTACAGGGACATTACAATACTGACCATTTCATTTTCAGTTCCTTTTTCAATAGTCTCCAGCACAGAATTTGGTTTGCCAACATAGCCACTATACTGCTCAGCACTAATTCCAGATCATACAACAATAAATGAAATAATAGCGGTTCTGATCCTTGTGGGACCCAGCTGCTCTCTCTCTTTCACTGGGAGAACTGTACATTTGTTCCAACTTCCTGTCGCTTGACCAATTTGTAATCCCCCAGTGGGCCCAATCTTTGGTCCCATGGCTGGTAAGATTACTCTCAGTAGTCTGGTGAGGTTTCTAATCAAAAACCCCTTTGGAAGTCCAAGCATATCATGTGTAACAGCTCACCCTCATGCAGGGGCTTGTAACCCTTCTCAAGGAACTCCAAAATGTTGGCGAGCAGGACTTCCTTTTGGAGGGAAGCTATGGAATGCACATGATATTTCAAACAGTGGCTCATTACGCACTCACCCTTGTGGTGGGTGAGCGTGCGTCCTCTGCACCCTCCCAGTGCAGACAATCAAAAAGGGACAAGAGCAAGTGCAAGGATTGTTAATGGAAGGGGATCACTTCTGATTAAGTATATCTCATGGCCTGTGGGAATGGGAATTATCAGAAGTTTCTGAGGCATATGACATCACATTAAAAATCAGGTGCAGCCACCACTTAATCCTGTTATAAGGCAATTGAAGAAAAGCAATATTCTAGCATTGCAAAAGAATGCAAGTATGCCATCAGTTCTAAGGGCAAAACGAGACTCCGAAACACAAGATTGCCACAGGGACTTGCAGCAGGGCAGCAGTTGTGACCTTGTGGGAAAAGCACCACGGGGGCCAAATCTGTATTGATACCACAGTGAAAGGGGAGAATGTGCTTCAGCCTTCACCCTAGCCCTTTTTAAATTATTATTATTATTATTATTATTATTATTATTATTAATTAGATTTTTAAGCTGCTCTCCTCACCAAAGTGGGCTCAGAGCAGTGTACAACATCAGAAATTCAATAAAACAAATAGATTAAAAGACAATTTGACTCCAATAACTGAGGCACCCTCATTACCAGCAAGGGTAAGGATAAAAGGGGAAGAGGGAGAGGACCAACAGGAAGAGGGAAAGAGTGAGAAGAAAATAAAAAGGGGAGGGGAAGGGAAAGGAAAGGTAAAAATAAAACCATTGCTGCCCTCAACCTTAGGACTGGTGAAACAACTCGGTCTTACAAGCTCTACAGAACAGATCTTCTGCGATCACTCGTAGCCAAGTAAGATTGTCTTCCATAAACACGGTTTTAACAATGAGTCCATAAGTGACTGTGGAGGCCAATTCTGGACCCACATGTCCTTCCACAGTGGGGACATTGGTTCCCGGGAAGGAGTTGATCACGGTGTGGATTTGCCAAGCGTGCCTTCCTCTTAGCACGTTTCTCCCTTGTGTCCTCAGTTCGAGTGTCTTCAAAGCCCATGACACCTTTGGTAAAGGCTGTTCTCCAACTGGAGCGCTCGCAGGCCAGTGTTTCCCAGTTGTCGGTGTTTATACAATACATTTTTTAAGATTTGCCTTGAGACAGTCTTTAAACCTCTTTTGTTGACCACCAGCATTATGCTTTCCATTTTTAAGTTCGGAATAGAGTAGTTGCTTTGGAAGATGATCATCAGGTGCAGGCAGTGCTGGAATGGAAAGCCCCCAAAACCCGGAAGGATGTGCAGAGGTTCCTAGGGTTCAGCAACTTCTACAGGAAGTTCATGAAGAACTTTGCCCACTTAACGGCGCCCATCACAGATTGTCTCAGTAGCAAAAGGAAGTTCGCCTGGACAGAAGGTGCTCAGCAATCCTTTGAAAGACTGAAGAAGGCGTTCGCTTCAGAAGAGCAGCTCCTACACGTTGATCTGGAGAAACCCATGAGGCTAGAGACCGACGCGTCCGACAGAGCCATTGGGGCGGTTCTTTTGCAGCCAGGGAGGAGCAAGCAGGAATGGAAGCCGTGTGCCTTTTTCTCGAGGAAGCTGAGCAAGTCAGAGCAAAACTATACGGTGTATGACCGTGAACTGCTTGCGATCTATGCGGCGTTTCACCGATGGAGACATCTGCTAATAGGGGCGCAGCACAAGATCCAGGTTTGTACTGATCACAAGAACTTGGAATACTGGAGGACCGCACAGGTACTCAACCAGAGACAGATTCGATGGGCACAGGAGTTCTCCAAGTTTTCCTTCAAGATCCGATACGTGCCGGGAGAGGAAAACGTAAGAGCAGATGCTCTCTCCCGGAAGCCGGAGTACATGGAAGGAGAGGGACCGCCGGAGATACGACACGTGATCCCCGAGGACCGATGGGTGTGTGGGGGAGCCTTGGTTGGGAAACGAGAACTGGCCGGGCTTACTAGAAACGACGTGTTCGCTCAAACTAAAATCCGGGAACTCCGAGACGGAAGAGAAAACCATGGGGGGGTTGAGGAAAAGGAAGGGGTGCTGTACTATAAGGGGGCGCTGTATGTACCGGGGGAGACCCTGAGGGGGAAGGTACTCAAACAACTCCACGACAACCCAACAGCTGGGCACTTTGGACAGCACAAAACCATGCTGCTCGTCACCTGGCAGTTCTGGTGGCCAAGGGTGAGGGAGGATGTACGGGAATATGTACGGGGGTGCAACCGCTGCCAAAGGGCAAAGGGGGAGAGGGCTGCCCCCGCAGGGTTACTGGAACCCTTACCCACGCCGGGAAGACCCTGGGAGGTGGTGTCCATTGATTTTATGACAGATTTGCCCAAGTCCAGGGGGAAGACAGCAGTCATGGTAGTAGTCGATCTACTGACGAAGATGTGCCATTTCATAGCTTGCTCACATGCGGTGACAGCAGAGGAGACAGCCAAGTTGTTTGTGGATCACATCTTCAGGTTGCATGGGACGCCCTCGAGGGTCATCGCAGATCGTGGAAAACAATTTACTTCTCGGTTCTGGAGGAAGCTCATGAGCTTGCTGCAGGTCGAGGTGGGCTTCTCGACGGCGCGACACCCGGAAACCAACGGGCAAGCAGAAAGAGCGAACAGTATACTCCAGCAATACCTACGCTGCTACGTCAGCGAGAGACAGAACGATTGGGTAGAGAAACTAGCGCTGGCTGAATTTGCGTACAATAACGCTGAACATGTGTCCACGGGCATGAGCCGGTTCATGGCCAATTATGGGTGTCACCCCAGGGCCTTCCCGGGGAGGGTGGAGCAAGGGTGGAGTGTACCTGCGGCAGAGCAGTTTGTGGAAGAAATGGAGGCCTTGCACCAGCAACTCAAGATGAACTTGGAGCGGGCCAAGGAAGTTTATAAGAGGCAGGCAGACAAGCACTGTCGGGAGGGGGATGCCATACGGGTGGGAGACCGAGTGTGGTTGTCAACCCAAGGGTTGCCCTTAGAAGGAGGGTGCAAGAAGTTGCAGCCAAGGCGGCTGGGACCCTTTGAGGTAACACAGCAGGTGAACCCTGTGGCATTCAAGCTCAAGTTGCCTGACAGCATGAAGATACATCCGGTGTCCCATAGGTCCCTACTCTCACCGTACAGGGAGGGGCGGGAATTCCCGGGACGAGAGGGAGGAGTCACCACCCACCCGCGGGTAGAGGAGAGGGAACTCCACAACCAAGCCACAGAAATACTCGATTCAAGGTGGCGAGGGCGCCAGGTGGAGTACTTAGTGGCTTGGGAAGGAGAACCCGAGTCAGAAAACACTTGGGTCCCCGCAGAGGTGGTCAATGATGGGTATCTTGTGAAAGAATTCCACAGCCTGTTCCCAGACAAACCAAAACCACTAGCGAGATTCTGGGAGGAAGAATTTGGTACCACAGACGAGGAGGAATTTGTGGGTTTTCCTGCCTCCGAAGAGGAAGGAGGGGAAATGTCAGAGGGAGAAGAATCAGACTGGGAGGCCCACCCCGCGGCAAGAGTTCGAAGCGGGTGGGAAGCGGGTTTTGAATCCTCAGAGGATGGCGACAGCTCCTTCAGGGGTTTCCCCGCATCATCGGCTGAGGAAAGGGATGAGGTTGGATCAGAAGGTTGGGCCGAGGGTGGGGGGGGGGTCCTGGGGGGGAGATGGATTTCAGGGAACTGCCATCGGAGCTGGAAGCGGAGGGAAGGCTCCAAAGGGATGGCGGAGAGGGTCCCAGTAGGGAGAGAGGGAGCCCGTCTGCTGGGGAAGGAAATCAGCGTAACACCAGTGGAGAAGGGGGGCAGATGGGGGAATCGGGGAGGAGGCTCCAAGACTCCTCACCGGAGACCAGCGGAGAGAGTACGGGTACTCCACTGCCCACACCCTCCCTGCACAGAAGACTTCCGCGCAGGGACAGTAGGAGGAGACTTGGCATCAAACAACTTTTATGCTGGAAAAGGTTTAAGAAACGCCCACTGACGAATTCTGCCAGCGACTGAGACAGTCACGATGCTGGAGGCTGTTCAGTCAGAAAGGGTTAACCAGGTAACCTAGCCAGGAGTGGCGGCAACTTACGCACGAGCAACCCCTAAACCCATTACAGGTTGGTAGTACAATAGCTTTGTAAACAAGCATTTTGGTTTCCCTCAAACACTGCACTTCAATTTGGAGAAAGCCGCACTTGCAGAGCTCAGGCGATGCTGGATTTCGGCATCAGTGTTGACCCTTGTGGAAAGATAACTTCCAAGGTAGGAGATGTGACTGACATTTTCCATTGTTACACCATTGAGGGGTTATTTTGTACTTATTGGTGTAGCACTTTGGTTTTTTGGATGTTGAATGACAGGCCAAGCTTTTCGTAAGCTCCCGTGAAGATATTTAGGATGGTTTGGAGGTCATCCTCTGAGTGTGCACACACTACGTTGTCATCAGCATACTGAAGCTCTATGACGGAAGTTACGGTAACCTTACTCTTTGCTTTCAGCCTGCTCAGATTGAAGAGTTTTCTTTCCATCTGTTCGATATA